AAATCCACATGAATTTCAAATTGACATGTATACTATTATTCACTTTTTTTCTTTTTAATTAATTATTTCAGGGGTATCCCTATGCAAAGTTCGCACACTTAAAATATCCTCATTATGCTCTCAAAACATACTTAAATTTGTGTAGAAATTAAGTATTGTTTAAGTGTAACATCAGTGTGAATTAAGTAGAATTTAAGTGTTTTGCCCTTTTTAGGGATATGCTTATTTTGTACTTATTTTATCCTTAAATCACACCTGAATTGTACTTAGATTATACTTGTTTTATTCTTAAATATTTCCCATTTAAGTAGAAAATATACTTATTTCCTACTTGAATATTACTCATTTTTAATTGTTGTATTTTCAAAATTAATAGTATATAAACAATTATTTTATTTATTTAAAAAAGACCATTTTTTATTTTTAAATATGAAAAATACAAATATTTTCTATTTAATATTATAATAAAATAATAATGTAATATAATATAATTATATAATAATAATATATATAATGATTTTCTTTTTTTCCTTACTAATCGCGTAATATGTGTTCACTGGATCCTTTTTTTTTTTTGAGAGAGAAGAGTAATTAATATTATAATGTAATATAATGTAATAATGTAATCATGTAATAATAATAATATATATAAAGTTTTTTTTTCCTTACTAATCGCGTAATAAGTGTTCATTAGATCCGTTTTTTTTTTGAAAAAGAAAAGTAATTAAAATAATAATGTAACATAATGTAATAATATAATATAATAATAATATATACAATGATTTTTTTTCCCTTAATTGTTGCGTAACAAGCTTGTTCACCTAGATCTGTAATAAGTAATTAATATTATATAATAAAGTAATAAAAATAATTTTTCCTTACTAGTTGCGTAACCTTTTGTTACTTTAAACTTCCATGCTTAAAACACCTCTTCAAAGATTATTTTTCTTCAAAAGAAAATATTATCTTTTTCACCTAAAAGAAAGTATGTACAATAATAATACAAGTGTATATAATGTATATAATTATAAGTTACTACCCTAAAGAAGTCTTTTTTATATATTAAACCAAGGTGTTGAAAAATTTTTTTGTAAACAAGTTATTAATTGTGTGACAGAAGAAAATTATAACATACAAATAAAAATTTTTTTTGCAGTAATTTGATTAAAGACACTTGCCATAAATAGTTGTTGGTAGCTACTATTTGCCATAAATAGATACGGCTGAAAAAAAAAATATATATAAAGGAGTAAAAAAAAAATTTTTTTAAAAAATATAAAAAATAAAAAAAAAGTTTTTTTTTAAAATAATTTTTGTAACGTGATTAAAAAAAAAATTTTTGTAATTTATAAAATTTATAAAAAAAATGGTTTATTCCATATTGTTCTTCATAATTGGACTAGTTTGAATACTTGATCAGTTTTTCCAATTTTATTTGTGTGCAACTTTCATAAATCATTTCCAATTTATTTATTGATTTCCCGTGATATGTAAAATTACTATTTTACAGTATGTGATCAGAGGGTAGTTACATTCCACCTTGGAGTGCTACTTATAGTCAATTGTGAACATTCATTAATGATAGAAATCTTAGAACCTGAATGTGGGGCTGATTTTTGCTACCCAATTTAACAGCCAAATGTCACCCAATTTCACAAATGTGGCCAAAAACGCAGAATTAATTAAAGTGTGGGGATGCGGAATGATTTATATGATTCATAATTAATTTGAGTATCTAAAACATTGAATGGTTATTTATTTTTAATTGCTTTAAAATATAATTGTAAGTATTAATCAATTTATTCTCTTTATTTTTGTTGCATTTCAGCCACTTAAAGCCGTTTACAAAATAAAAAAATCAAATTTAGCATTTTTATAATAAGGGGCAATTTGGTGAAGTTGGCGACGCAAGGGACCCTCGACGCAAGAACTCAAGGGAGGGTTGAGTTCAATTTCACCATTGTCCCTTTTAAATTTTTAAATTCATTAAAATCTAAAAACGATCGGCAAGATCTAATTTTTTTTCAAAAAAAACTTTTCATCCTTTTCATCATGAAAGTTTACGTCGAAGACCTGACCATTAATAGAGTTAGACAGTGCACCCGCTACTATAAAGAAACCTACAGGTACAAAAAATTTTTTAAGAAAATAAACGGTGGTCGCTCCAACTGTCGCATTGAAAAAATAGAGTTGTACGATGGGAGAAGGTGGTGGGAGGTGTGTGGAGAAGACAAGATGTACGAGGCACATAAAGCCGTCATGATCAGATATATAGTTAGAACAATAGGTAATTATAATAAATAAAATAATCATTTTTTTATATTATTATTTATTTATGCATAATTTAAAAGAAACTTTTTATGTCTGTTAAAAATTCATACCAGTCCCACCACCACCACCACTACCAGTTGTAGCTGTTCCACCACCACCACCACTACCAGTTGTAGCTGTTCCACCACCACCACCACCATCAGTTGTAGCTGTTCCACCACCACCACCACCATCAGTTGTAGCTGTTCCACCACCACAGGTTGTTCCATCACCACCACCACTACCAGTTGTAGTAGCTGTTCCACCACCACCACGGGTTGTTCCGTCACCACCACCACTACCAGTTGTAGTAGCTGTTCCACCACCACAGGTTGTTCCATCGCCACCACCACTACCAGTTGTAGTAGCTGTTCCACCATCACCATGGGTTGTTCCGTCACCACCACCACTACCAGTTGTAGTAGCTGTTCCACCACCACCACGGGTTGTTCCATCACCGCCACCACCGACACCACCATCATCTGTTTCACCACAACCAGTCTCACCATCACCAAAGCAAGCTATATCATTGTCATCTGTTTTTCAACAAATGGATATAGATTAAATAAATTTATGTAAATAAATTTATTTTTGTAAATAAATTTATGTAAATAAATTTATATGTAAATAGATTTATATTTGTAAATAACAAACAATAAATAAAATTTATAATCAATTCATCTTTCACAAACTCATTAATAATTTATATTTATGATAAAAT